GGGGCTGCAGCTGCAGGTTTGGGGTGGGCAGAGCTCTGTCCTGGGGTTCATCCTCTGTGCCCTGGGGGTGTGGACACGGATTTCCCTCCCTGATTCCCTGAGATCTGGGGGTCCCTGCAGTGTTTGGGGTCTGCATTCCCACTGTGGGCATCTCACAGGATGTGAATCCCTCACACATGGGGCCGTTTCCACGTTTCCTCTGTGTTCTGCTCTCATCCTTTCCAAAGCCCAACTCCAGTCCCTGGGGATTTGCTCTCTTTGCCTCCTGCTAATTTGGGATAACTGATTGGATACACATTAAAGCCATTGAGGATTTTCTCCCCTGGGGCTTCCCAGGGCATGTCTCACTGTTTTATGCCTTTGTTTAACTGGATAAGAATTCCATTTATCATTGTCAACATTTTTTTTTTGTCTTCCAACCACTTGAGGTTTTTTGCTTAATAATCCAGACTATTATCCTATTGTCCTAGCTGATCATCCAAGACAAAAAGAGGAGGATTTGGAAGGAAATCTCTCATTCTCTTTATTTTTAAGGTGTGAAATAGGTCATGTTTTAAGGTTGATTGTCTGTTGAACTGCATGAAAAGCAAAAATCTTGGCTGAGAGATGCCCACACCAAATATTTCCTGGGCAGGGAATGGAGGTCCCAGGATAAGTGTGGTTTGTGCCTCACAGCTGCAAATCCTGCAGCATCCAGAAAGGGATGTGGAGGGGAGAAAAACCCCGATTTTTAATGGATTGGGAAAGCCAGGGAGTTCTCATTTTTAAGATATGCAGGACAGCACGTTTTTATTTAAGATTGATTGTGAGTGACAGAAATGTGAGAACTGTGTAATAACGCTGGGGAAAAATACAATAAAATCCTGTTGCTTCCTCACAGCCCCCAGACAATGGCTAATTGTTCTAATTTGGGTCACTCCCCTGCTGTGCTGCAGCAGGAATCCTTCACCAGGGCTCTTTAATCATTAACATTGGCCTCTTTTCCACGGAGCTTGGCCCCAGGGCTCTGCCCATCCCCAGGGATTCTGCTCCTGCAGGAGGAGCAGGGATTCGTTTTTTTAATGAAAACAAATTAATTTGCTGTAACATCTTTATCACCTCCTTTGAGCTCTCTCTCCTTTAGGAGCAGCCCTGAAATCCACTTTGGGGAGCCAAATCTTGCCCATGAGGTGATGCAGGAGGGCAGGCAGTGGCCCCAGGGTTATTTATCCACAACAAACCACAGCCCTGCTTATTTCAGGGTTGTTTTTCCCTGGTGAAATCCCCCTGCCCTGCAGAAAAGCCAGGAAGGTGCTCAGGGGTGGTGGAAGGTGCTGGGTGATGCCTCAGCCACGGGGTCAGGACACAAATCCCAACTCCAGATGTGTGGCTGATGGATCTGTAGGAGCTCAGGAAAAGGGCACATCCCAGCTTTTTTCCCTTTTTTTCCTGTCAGCAGCATCAGCTGGGAAAGCTGGACTCTGTGCGTGTGTGGTCTGTCCCATCTCCCCAGCCCTACCCTGCAGTTTTCCTCCCACAGTTTGAAAACCAGATAAAAAAAATGCACATTCCCACCCCCTGTGTGATTTTAGAGGGGTCACATCTTGTGTGAGGCTTTTCCTGTGTGTTGTTTCAGGAGAGTTTGCTGCTGGGATTGGGCTCTGGTGGTGAGAAAATGCAATTTTTGTGCTTGGTTGTTGTCCTTTCCATGGAAAGGGCACTCGGGGTTTCCCAAAACCCAGCCCTGTGGGATTCAGGCTGTGCAGGTTGAGGTTTCCCTGCCCTCTGACCACAAAAATCAGCTTTGTATTGACCTTCCATGAGTGATGTGATGAAGACTGATGGAGATGTGGCAGAAAGAGATTTTGGCCTCGATTTTGATGTTGTGGGAATTGCTTCACCCCTGGAAGCAGCAGGATCTGCCCTGCCCAGAGGGGTTTGTGACTTTTTTTCCATCATTCCTGAGGGTGCTGATGGTGCAGAGATGTTATCCCAAGGCAGAGGGAGCATCCCACAGGAATTCATCACTCCCCTCATCCCAGGGGTCTCCCCATTCCCCAAGAGGTTCAAACCTTGCCAGCACCAGCTGGGCTGCTTTTAAAGCTGCTTTTAAAGCTGATTTTTACACCGATTCCCTTTCCAAACAAGCTCTTGGGCTCAGTCCCACCAGGGTGTGTGTGTCAGCTCCAATTATTTCCTGATAGATTTGGATCAGGAACAGGGAAAAGCTTTTGTTTTTGTTTTGTTTGGAGCCCTTGGCACAGCACCAGAAAGTCCTTTCTCCTGCACACAAGTTTTGGGGCTGCAGAGATTTGGGTAAAAAACCTAAAAAATTGAGTTTCCTGAAGCACAGTTTGTGGGAATGAGATGTGCAGAAGGAAGGAGCCCATCCTGTGCCTTAGGAGAGCTCTGAAATGGGAAATTTATTTATTATTATATTTATTTTCTTATCACAAAGTTGATAAAGTGTGCAGGAATCATGTGCTCTAAATCATTTATTAAAGCCCCCAAAATAGAAATATCTCAGGATCTACAGGGCTTGGGATGTGAGCTTGTGAAGAAAAAGGGCTGAAAGGGTGGGGATGCTGGATGTGGAGAAAGGATTAAAATATTCCTTGTCCTGCTCCTGCACCAGCATGGATGGGCTGGCTTTGCTTTGGGCTGAATTACTCAGGAATTGGTTTGATGGGAAGTTCAGGCCTGAGCTTTCCTTGGCCATCTGGAGGTCTTGAGGGGAAAAAAAACCTCATTAAAGACCTCAAAAAACCTCATTGGAGAGGCAAGATGGCCATGACACACCTGAACCAGCAAAAAATTGTGGGTTTTTTATTTTACTTTCTCAGCTTCTCCACGCTCCTCTTGTGAATCATTTCACTTCCCCAACGCTTCAGCTGGGATAATGCTGGAGACAGCTTGAATTGTCTCTTGCAGGGTTATTTTGGAGGAAATTTGCAGCACAAAATGCCAGCAATATCCTTCCCCCTCAGGATTTTAACACTTTGTTTCCTTTTCAACATTGGTTATTCAGGAAGGCCTCGGAGCTGGAAACCCCCACTCCTCCCTCAGGGTGGATCTGTTGTTTCAGGGGCTGCAATGCTTAAAAATCAAAATAATAATTAAAAAAAAAAAAAAAACAACAACAGATTAAATTAAAGCAGCTGGCACTTGACAGGTAAAAAAATAAATATATATAGAGAGGTGTCAAAATCTGTGGTGTTTTCTTCTCATGTTGGGGTGAGTGCTTCTACAGCCGGGAAGGTGTTGCTGGCAGTGTTGCCTTCCCAAAATGTTTTGAGGCTCTAATTAAAGAATTGCCTGCTTTTCCAGGCTTTCCTGTGGGAAACATGAGGTAAAATGTTGCTTTTCTTTATTTTCTCAGTGTTCATTCCACAGGTTGAGCCTCTCAGGGTTCATCCAGGCCCGGGGTTGGTTTTTGCCACAGGGCCTGCAGTGGGAGAGGAGCTGTGGGAGCGCCTGAGGGATGAAATTTGTGGGATAAAAACTCAGATTTTGGGTTCAGTTTGGTGGTGAATGAGGGGTTGAAAAGCAAGGGTTTAAATGTGTCCTATAAACCCAGATTTCCTGGGCAATTTCTGCCTGAAATCCCCTGGCACTGCTGCCCTCAGTGCAGGTGGAGCTGGACAAGCACCACCCTGGAATTATCAGGGAAAACACCCTGGAATTATCAGGGAAAAATCAGCTGGAAATTCAGCTTGTGATTCATGGGAATATCCATGATATATCTGGGAACAAACCCTCCCAATTTATATTAAGTCTTCATTCTTACAGTGGAGTCAAACCCCACAAATCCTGGTTGATATTTCTGCCTCAGCCACCTGCAGTGATGTTCTGGCTTTGTGGTTGTTGTGTTTTTTGGGTTTTTTACCCTGAGAAAACCTGCAGTAATTGTTTCCCTGTACACCCCCAAGTGATTTGTCAAAATCCCAATTGCTCCCAGGTAATTCAATATTTATGATGTCTTCATAAGGCTGGTCCCGCTCCACTGATGCAGAGGTGAGGGGGTGAATAAATTGCATAAATTTCATAAATTAGGGGGCAAAATCTGAGCTGTCAGGGAGGATGTGAAGGCAGCAATAATTGGCTGTCCAGGCAGAGGAGATGCAGAACCTTCCTCAGGTTTTTCCCAGAAAATCCTGAGCCATGCCCATGGCTGAGCAGCCCAGGCTGCCTGTTTATTGTAGGGTTTCATCTTTAATTCCTGTGTCTTCCCTAATGATCTAACATTTCGATAAAACCAGGCAGACAGCACAAATTGTCGCATTTTGGATCTTTTTATATCATTATTGATCTTTCAGTCAGGCTCATCTCTGCCTGTGACCTTTCAGAGAGCAAGAGAGGCACTGCAGGATGGGTGGTTGGAATTTCTGGAATGCAGATCATCTGTATGAAAATCCTGGGTTTTATTTTATAAAAATAAGGACTGGGTTTTATTTTATTTTATTTTTAGGACCCAAAATTTCTAGACCCAAATCCTTAGAAACTGTCAGAGCTGTAGTTTTCCAAGCCCAGCATCCCTTGGGATGAAAATTTGATCCAAAATCGAGAAGACACCACATTTCTTCATGTTTTTATTTCTCTTAACAATTAAATGTTGTGAGATTTTTCTCTTCCCAAGACTCCATCAGCTCACAAAGCTGCTGGGAAGTGATTTTGGTGGTAATGAATGGGTGATTTAACCAAATTTAATCAATCTCTGCCTGATTTTTGCGCTGGAAGCTGTTGCGTGGTGTCGGATGGTAATGGTGGGATAATAACAAGATGATGATGATGATGGTGATGATAATAATAATAATAATAATAATAATAATAATAATAATAATAATAATTCCTGCAGAATCTTAGCACTCAGAGAAGTTTTTCCCCCCTTTCTAGATGGTTTTAAGGGTGGTCCCTCAAGGTTTCCCAGCTCCAGCTGGAGCCACTCTGGGCTCAGGGCAGCCCCTGGGTGTGGTGGCAGTGCTGCAGAGCTCTCACCCCGTGTCCTTTCCGTGTTTTTGCAGGAAGGGGACTCCCTGGGAGCCATGGAGAAGCTGTGCAGGCAGCTCACCTACCACCTGAGCCCCCACTCGCAGTGGAGACGCCAGGGCATCATGAAGAGGAAGCCGCAGTCCTGGTGAGTCCCTGCTGGCTCCCAGGCTGGCCTTGCCACCCCTCAGGGGCTGGGGACACTGGAGAAGGGAGTTTTCCACCATGCTTTTGGCAAATGTGGGAGCTGCCTGTTGCTCCCTGCAGCCACAGGAGATGCAAATTCACCCTGCTCGGAGCTGGGGTGTCCCAACCTCCAGAATCCTCCTCCCTCTCCAATCTCACCAGCATTTCCCACATTTATGGTTCCTTCATGCTCTCCCAGAGGTGTTTCCCTCTATTTCCATCTTCCTTTCCCTGTTGAACAGCACTTCAGTGCCTGGGGAGGAGGAATGGTCTGGAAAACCTGAGCCATCCATCTTCCAAACATCCCTTGCCTTCCAAACTGCTCCAAGAGCTCCTAATTAGCTGGTAATTAATGTACAAGCACGTGTCACCATGCACTCCCTGGCTTGCAGTGCACAGAAGGAATTTTGTTGTTAAAAACAGGAAGAAATAACCCAAATCCCCTCCTCATCCAGCTCCTCAGCAAAGCATTCCCATCTGGTGTCATCCTGGATCCACAGAGCTGAGAAACCTGTGGATGAGGCTGATGAGAATGGAAAGGGCTGCTTGTTTTCCTTATGTTGGGCATGATATATTTATTATTTTTGCTTAAGGAAGCGAGAAATAGAAACAAAGCTGCAATCTGGGAGAGTCAGGATTTGTATCCAGGTGCTGGCTCGAGGTCCCAGGAGAGTTCTGGTTGTAGTGGAGCTGTAGTCCAATGAAAAAAACTGGGATAGGTAAAGAGAGGGGAGGAGTGGTCACAGGAGGAAAAAAAGACACAAGGAAATCAAGGATTGAGTGGCCAAATAGGATTAGGAGCACATTTCCCAGGGATCTGGCTTATCATCCTCACAAAGTGATGCCCTGAGAGAGCAAAACGTGGAGAAATGTATTTCACTGGCAGCATTAGGAGAAATGTATTTCACTGGCAGTGTTACCCACATTTCTGGTGGATTTTAAGGTGCATTAATGGTTAAAATCTGCATTTTCCAATAAAGCAGCAGAAACTGGGGGAGTGTTGGAGCTGCCAGGCTGTGTCCTGGGGACACACTGAGCTGTAATGACCCAGCAGCTCATTAACCCTCCGGGGTTTCCTCTTAATTAGAGTAGGAAATGCTCACCCCTTATCCCCACATTGTTCAGGTCCCACTGCTGCTGCATCCGAGCTCTTCACAGCCCCAAACCTCCCGAAATCCTTGGCAATGACAAAACCTCGAGCCCTGCTTTGTGCCTGTCTTTAATTACCAATCCCCGTCCTTAATCCCCAGCCCGGGATCAGCGCGGTGTGAGCCCAGCCTCGTGCCCGAGATTTGCAAGGCTTTATCTGCAGCTTTTCCTTGCAGCAGCTGGGGAATGGCTGAGGTTTCCCGGGGCTTTAGGGGCAGGGATCAGGTTTTGGGATCAGGTTTTGGGATCAGGTTTTGGGATGAGGTTTTGGGATGAGGTTTTGGCTGCCAGAGAGCCCTGCAGTGACCCAGTGCCAACGTGGGCTGCTGGTTCTGCCCAGCCAGGCTTTGGAGGGTAGGATTTTCCTGCATTTCTGGTTTAGATGCTCTTTTAGGAGGTGGCTGTGAGTTGAACTCTTTGCTGGAAGGTGAAGTCAGTCTTGTGCTAAGGTTTAAATGCCATAAAACAGGGATTTTATAGCGAGCATCCTGCTCTGGGCTGGGGTTTCCAAGTGCACAAGGGAATTGTGAGCTCCCATTCCCAGGTGCTGGCACTGCCCTGACTCAGCCCTGCTGCCAGGTGTGGCAGGAACTCCCCAATATCACAGATCCACCCTTTTTCATGTGTGTGTTGCAGGGAAAATCGCTTTCCTTCATCCACACCCATATATCCACTGCAGGTGGGAATGGGAAGCAGAGCAGCAGCAGCAGCAGGAGGAGGAGGATGGGCACAAAGGATGGAGCTGATTTTTTGGGCCAGGCAGAAGGAGAGAGACTCTGCTTCCTAATCCCAGCTCCTCCCAGGCTGGGTGTGCTCCCTAAATCCAGGCAGACATCCCCAGCCCTGGCACAGCAGCACCCAAACCTCTGCCAAATGACCTTATTTATTTTTTTGGCACGTTGTAAATCTGTCTGGCTCTCCCTCGCTGCCTCCACGCCTCCCTCGGAATACATTCAACATCCAGGGATGAAAATCGGGGGAAAGCCAGCAGCAGCAGGATGGAGGCAGCCTGCTAAAATCATTTCCCTGAGCCTGGCTCTGCCTGGGGACAGGATTCCAGCCCTGGAATCTCCCTGCTCCTGTCGGCATCACAAAGGCAAACTGGGAATCAAAGCTCCTGGGAGCAGGAGGTGTTTCCCAGGGGAAACCATCCCTGGGGATATCCCGGTAGGAATGAGGCAGGAATGCAGCAGAGAGGATGGGGCAGTGGGCAGCAGCTGAAGGAATATCAAATATTCACGTTGTAACTCCAAATTTGCATTCAGATAAACCCATTGTTTTTTATTTTTACACACAGTTCTTGTTAATGCCCCTGTATGAAGCAGGGGAAGAATTTAGGGTGAAGCAGCTCACTTTAAATGGCATTAAATGAGGTCAATCTGGACCTAAATTTGTGGATTTTTTGACCCTGCTGCTGCTCAGAGAAACCCCCAAATGCCCACACCAGGCTGAGTCTATGTGGCATTTTCTGCACTTTCTCACCCCATTTTTTGTTTCACAGCTTCCAGCCCTCACTTGTGCAAATCCCTCAGTGCTGGCACCTGGGGAGAGCCAGGAGCTGATTCTCTTCTCACTTCTCCTGGCTTTTCCAGGTGGTTCTCCTGAGCTGGGTTTTCCTGGGTTTTCCAGCCCATTCTTTTCTTTGCCACTTGCGCTTTCTAGTGACACCTGTGACTCAGCCTGAACTCCTTTCACCCTCTGATGTGAAATCACCTTGAAAACAGCAGGAAAATGAATAATTTGGGGCAGATTTTGGGAACGTAGAGGCTCTGTGAGGCTGTGGCAGATTTAACCCCTGGTTGTCTGAGGGTTGGATGTTCTCCAGGCATTTGGCACCCAGGAGCAGAGACCTGTTGGAACAGAAGGTGTTTGGATTTAGAGATGAATTTACAGAGGTTGAGCAGCTTTATTTTGATGGCAGGAATAATCTTTTACCATCCCACTCCTGATTTCATCAGGGACACAAAACATTTCTGTCCTGCAGGAATGCTGGGTGCTGGGCTTTCATGTTGGCACTGCCTGCTTGCATTGCTTTACAAAGGAAAAAAATTATTCAAAAATGAGTTTTGATGGTGGGAGAAGCCCTTTGGAGAACAGAAAGGGAATGTTTGTGGTGGAAATCCTCCTGTGCTGTGGCAGCTGGTGGGTGAGTGAGAGGAGCTGGAGCTCCTGCAACAAAAGGTCCCTTCAGAGCACCCAGCACAAAGGCAGGTGGTGGGAGGAGGCTGGAGCAGGGGCTCCTGGCCATTGAAATCCCATTTCTCTGTGTGTGTGTGTGCTGGAGCTGCTGCAGAGAGCAGGGAATGTGGGAGTGGAGCCTCTGGGATGTGTGTGGGTGATCCCCTCTCCCTGTGCCCATGGGATGCCATTCCCTGCACATTCCCTGCACATTCCAGGGCTGGCCCATGGAGCTGAGGGGACACAGGATGCTCCAAACGCTCACAACTCAGTGGTTTGGGGTGGTGGTGTCGTTTTCCACCTTTTGCAGTGGAAAACAGACAATTCCCAAACCTCTCTGCTCTGTCCAGCATGGCCTGAGGCTCTGGGGATGGAGAAAAGCAAAGTTCTGGTTCCTGATGGCTTTTCAGGTTGGGATGCTCAGCCCAGGCTCAGACACACCCTCTGATAAATGTCTAAATGTGAAGGGAAGGCCTGGAGTGACACAGAAATGAGCTGAGATTTTGTGAGAGAGAGAGTGGAAAACCTTTGGGAGACACCTTTGGTTTGGTGGAGTTCACACAGGGTGAAAATAAATTGGGAATATTTCCTGTGCTTTGGCAGAAATGTTTGGGAATTTGAGGTGCTGAGGAGCAGCAGGGAGCTGGTTCCCACACAGCAAATGAGGAGCTTTGATGGGGTTCAGGGCACACAAAGAGGGGAAAAAAGGAACTTTTTGAGGTACCAATAAGGAGTTGGGAGAAAAAGTTGGATGTAATTTTATCCCAGGAGTGCCCTTTCCATCACCCCTGTCCTCCTCACCTCTCTCTCCCCTCCATGGCCATGGGGCATTGCCTCCATCTGCCCACTTTGGATTTTTATAGCTACTCAAGATGTGACTTTTCTCTTTCTCTTATGGCTGGGCTGGGAACAAGCCCTGATGTGCCCTGTCAGTTCTGTTCCCTCCTCACCCTCTGCTCTGGGCTGCTGCCCTTGAGTTTACTCCCTTTGGCACCTCCCTGCTGCAGGCACAGCCCCACAGCCCCTGCTGTGTCTGTGCTCCCGTGGGCTGGGAATGTCCAAGCTGCTCCTTGGCTTGGTGGAAAATCCATTTCCCAGCATTTGGGGCTGGTCCTTTGCATTGAGATTTGGGATTTTTTTGTAGATTTGAGTGGGGTGGGCAGGTTAAACCTGGGGTTAAATGTGCCCCAGCTGCTTCCCAGAAAAAAAGGGAAAATCCCAACCCTCTGAAACTGGGATGCAGCTCCCTGGAGCTCCTTGTGATGTAGAAATTCCAATGAATCTTCTGCAAAAATGGTGTTTAATGTGCCAATATCTCCTCTGGCAACCCCAGGGTTTTGTGATCATGGTGAAATGTTTTGTCCTGGTGGGAATGGGGTGTGATGTTGGAGAGGAGAGGAGAGGAGGAGCAGGCCAGCACAGGCTGAGTGGGAAGAAGGGAAGGATTCCATCCAGCTGGAGGTGGATTTCTTGAATGAGAGAGGAATCAAGAAAAAGAAAATAAAAGAAAGCTGTGTCATTTTAAAGTCAATAATTTTCAGCATTAAGAGGCTTTGGTGTTAAATAATTCTCTTTTCAGGCTAGTGGGGAGTAAATTCAGGGTGTCCCTGGTTTGTGCTTTATCCCTGGGTTGGG